AGGGTTTATCTGGAAGGTGCTTGGTCCTGCCACGAGGGCAGGGGACTGGAATCGATGACCTCTGGAGGTCCCTTGCAGTTCTAGTGTTCTATGATTCTGTGATTCTATGATAAAAGTTGCTTTCTGGTTTTTTTTAAACATAGGATAAGAAAGTGACCGGGGGAGGGGTTTTGGCAAATGTGGCGAGCAGTAGGTGAAGCCCCCTAGAATTTAGTAAATAAAGTATTCCAGATTGTTAATGTTTTTTTCCTAAATACTGGGTTTTCATTTGCTTATCAACCTTTGAAGATTAAAAAAAACTCAATCATTTGAATAGCTGCTAGTCACGAGTTCATTACAAATTTCAGACACTTGAAATGTATGATTATCTGAGTACATGCTAGAACTTCAGATTCTAAATGTGAATGTTGCAACACTGAAAATGAACAATTCAGTGGGTCATTTTCCACTCAATATCCAATAGGAGACTTAAAATTATGTTCTTTATCACATTTAAGAACTGTTAGTTTAAAATATGTTTTTAATAAAATTATTTCTAAAAACTGAATAATGAAAGCAATAATGAATTAATTCTTCATAAAAGGCATATAAATGTTTCAACTGCTATATTGGTGTTTAAAATGTGATGTGTGTCTGGCAAAAAAGTAAATCACCACATACGGTTATTACATGCAGACAGCCACAAGTTGAAATAAAAATTTATATTCTGATTATTTATGTCATGGTGAGCTACAATTAGACACAAATCTTTGTTACTGTTAACAAGAATTCCTTTCTCAGAGCTGTATTCTGATACTCTTACTCACCTTAAGTAGTAGCTTAGGGTATGTCTACACTACAAAGTTAATTCCAACTAACAGTCATTAGTTCGAATTAACTTTAATAGCGTCTATACATACAAACTGCTAGTTCGAATTTAAATCGAACTAGTGGAGTGCTTCATTCGAACTAGGTAAACCTCATTCTGCGAGGACTAACGCCTAGTTCAAATTAAGTAGTTCGAATTAAGGGCTGTGTAGCCACTTAATTCGAACTAGCTGGAGGCTAGCCCTTCCCAGGTTCCCCCTGGTGCCCACTGTGGGCCAAACCAGGAATACTCCTCTCCTTTCCCCGAGCCCCCGGGGCCCTTAAAGGGGTAGACTCTGGCCAGATGGCACTTGCCAGAGACAGCCCTGCCAGCAGTCTGCCCCTGACCCAGTGGCCCCACGATGAGCCAGGGAGCCAGTGACAGCCAGCTGTCCCCCGCCCAGTCCCCTAGCACCCAAGGGCCAGCCAGGGGCCGTAGATGGCGTGTGCCCTCCTGGACTAGTGCGGAGGTCATGGACCTCATTGAGGTTTGGGGGCAGGCCCCCAACCTCCATGATCTCCGCACTAGGTGGAGGAACGCGGCCGTCATGGCCCAAAAGGGAGGAGGTGCGCCTGAAAGTGAAACAGCTGCGGCAGGCGTACGCCAGGGCCACCAGGGGTGGCGCCGCAGCAGGGGCTGCCACCTGTCCCTACATCCCCGCGTACGCCAGGGCCACCAGGGGTGGCGCCACAGCAGGAGCTGCCACCTGCCCCTACTTCCCTGCCCTCAACCGACTCTTGGGGGGCGGGGCGGTCCGGGCCAGCCCGGGAGGCAGCGAGCCGGGACTTGGAGGGCCCTGACCCGGGTGCAGCAGAGGGGCTACTGCAAGCAGTTTCAGCACCAGATTCGGCAGGGTCATCCGAGGAGGCCATACTGGGTAAGTGCCAGCACTGTCCCCTGCCCGGGGGGGAGGGAACCCAGGGACCATGTGTGGGTCATGCCTCCCATGGATCATGCAGCCACCTGTGCACGTGCCATGCCACTCTTGGGCAGGTGGCTCCAGCTGCGTGACACCCAGGGGCCGTGGTCCAGTAGGCATATGTGTGTGTGAAGAGACCTGACATGTTCCCGATCCTAGGGCAGGACCCAGCAGGATGCTCTCCCTTCACAAGCCCCCTCTACTCAGAGGCAGGGGACATCTCACCCCCCCCCCCCCCCCCCCCCCCCCCCACAC